ATTAAAGCATAGTGATTAATCACAAAAACAATATGTAATTATATATGTGTTTTCCGATGGTCTTAGGCGACCCCTGTGAAAGGGTTGTTCGACTCCCAAAGGGGTCGCGACCCACAGGTTGAGAACCGCTGTTCTAAATAATAGGTCCCACATCCCGGAAGCGGCTTCTAGAGCTTCCTCTTGTTCTGCTCTCGGGGGATTAGCTGCTTCCAGTCAATCCACATCTGTCCTACGAGCCCAGCTCGCTCTCCTCCCCAGCTGAGGGCTTTGTTAGTGGACATCATGATTGTAAGTTCTTGCCCACGCTTGTAAGTTGAGGAATGCATTTGTATCATCAACAAAGGCCTAGAGGTTAGGGTTTTTTTTTTGTTGTTTAATTGTTTGTCTTATGGAAAAAGTCTTGCCGTGTGGGTTCCGCTGGAGGTGAGGGTCCTGAAGGCTGGCCCCCTGCTCAGACCGCTCAGTCCAGGACCGTCTGTGCCGAGCATGCCACCCCCGGGACAGGAGCCGGGACTTGCAGAGAGAGCGCTCTTTACAAGCCCAGAGGGATGGAACCGGGCGGCTGATGGGCAGTTTAAACTTGGCCACCTCTGCTTAACAGGAGTTGGGGGGCAATAGGAGAGAAGCCTCAGGCAAACCCCAAAGAGATGGCAGGAGGAAAGTTTCTGCTGCTTTGTAAGAACTGGGATCCCCAGGTTAAGGGGTGCAGGGCTCTGTGGGCGGACGGCTCCTCGGGCACCGGTGCCACCTGCGGGCTGTGGGGGAAGTCATGCCAGTTGAGTGTGAAGGCAGGGCTGGTGGGGAAGTGCGTCTGGAGATAAGCCTTGAATATGTAAGTGAGCACCCGGGGGCAACCGCGGGGAGGGGCCTCTTTGCAGGAAATCCTGCCTCTTTCAGAGCTGGTTTTGGAGTGAGAAGGCGGAGCAGAGGCTGCCATCCCCACTGGACTCAGAGGCCTGTCCTCAGTTCCAGGGGGTGACCCTCACCCATCACCTGCGCGAGGGCTGAGGTTTCCTCCCGCTTCCTCACTGGCTCTCCTAGTTCTCTCTTCCTCCCCGGACGCTGTCTCCCTGAGGCCCTTCGGCGGTGCCGGTCACAGGGCTATGATCTGGGGTAGGGGAGCCTCTAGGAGCCTGGTGTACGGTGCTTTCCAAATTCCTTTTGGAAAACATGGGCACTGGCGAGATGCAAGGCTGGAGTAACTGGACGAGGAGGGGCTGGCATGGCCACCCCATTCGATGGAAGGGGCCTCCCTGCTTCTGGGGACAGAGCAGGACGTCTGGTTGGGAATACATGGGGGGGGGCAGGGTCAGGGAAGGGACAGCTGTGGACTGGCATTGCCTGGAGCTTGAACTTAGAAGGAGGGAAGCGTTTTATTTTGAACTCCAGTTTCTCTCTGGGCATTAGTAATGGGGCACTCCAGCTCTGGGCCTGTGTGCCATCAGGCGGTGCGGCGAGGAGCCTCGAGCTGCCCTGGACGTGCGCTGAGCGTCCGGGCAGAGAGTGACTTCGGCTCCGGGCGCAGTGTGACCTGGACGTTAACAAGTGGACCTACTGATCTGACCAGGAGTCCAGAGCTCCAGGCGACCTGCCTTTTGCACGGGCCCCGGAGGTCCGCCAGGACCACAGTGTCCAAGGCGTGTGGCCTGGGTGTGGTCACCCCCACAGCCCTTTATACTCATCTTCCCACCCACATGGCCCAGAGGAGCCTGGAAGTTTGCTGCAGCCGGCTGCTCCTCAGAGGCCCAGGGCTGGCGGCCCTGCCGCCCTCTACTGTACCATGAGCTTCTCTGGGGGTCAGGAGAGTGGGGCGCCCACCCCCACTCCAGCGCCAGTCCAGACATCAGGTTAAAGAAACACCCTCCTGGGCTCCCGCACCGAGAGGGCTCAGAAGACCTGCGCTCCCGCCTGTCCACGCGGCCGTTCCAGAGGAGGCTACGTTCTGGATGACGCATGGTGTCACACACTGTTTCCTGCTCTGGTCACCCGGCTTCAGCCAGGACGGCGAGGAGGACTGCGAGGTCCGAGAGCAGGAGTCACGATGGGGGAACACCTCAGATTTTGTGCGTTTAAGCCTTGGAACTCGGCTCTCCCAGGGGACCCCTCCAGCAGCGATTAACCCGTGGAGTGACCGCCCAAGGTGGACGGCTGCCTCCAGGAACACAGGCTGGTGCTGAGCCCCGAGTTTAGACAGCACAGCCATGGAGCATGTTGCGGGGAGGGAGAGTGTTGGGCGCACAGGCCTGGGCCACACCCTTTCTGGACCTTCCTCACTGAAGAGCGGAAGCCGCCTGGGAAGGGACGACGCGCTTTCCTGGTGGGTCCCGTGCAGGGAGCACGTGGGCCTGCTTTGCTCTTGCCTATTCTTCTTGGCCACGAAGTGTGACAGGTGGCCAGCTACTCAAACGCCCATGTGTGCTGAGTGCCAGGGGCCAGGGCATTTAGGAACGTGAGCGGAAGGAGAGGTGAGCCCTCATACCTGTCCCCTCTGGGACCGGAGGGGGGGGAGGGCACATTCCTGGGGGGCGGGGCACAGCCCGGGAGGAGCCGGATCCCGGAGGCACCGCCTGGACACGAGGCCAGCACCCACCGGGGCACGTCTCCGGCTCTCGGGTGAAACAGGCTGGGTTCTGCTGTGGACACATTGTGTCCTTCGGTCGCTTTGCTGTGACAGTTCAGTAATCACTCTGGTTAGTGAGCTGGGGTGAGTAGGTCCACGAAGTCCGGGCAGCGGAGGAGGGAAGTGGCCTGAAGTCGCCCTGCACACCGGACCCCGTGTCCCAATGTTCCGATCGGAAGAGGGGACCCGAGGCCTCTGTCCTCTGGCCATGTTCTCAACACCAACATTCGCAGGTGAACTTATACTTTTGAGGCCATGGAGCCCTCAGGCTGGCCCTTCATAAAAACGATAATTTGATCCCATCGACTCTCCATTCCTTTGCTGTTTTCTGTTGATTAGAATCAAACGGTGATGAGGGTGAGAGGGTGATAGGGACACTGGGTACAGACCTGCCCCCTGGGCCCTGACGGAGCCCTGGAAACAGTGCAGGTGGTGCCCCAGGGGCACAGTGGGCCGCCAGAGCACAAGTCCCACCACTGCCTGGCGCTGCAGGCTGGGCGCTGTCCCAGCCAGGACACCGGATGCCACTTCTAACAGACTCTGACCCCAAAGGTCGGGGCGCAGGGAGTGCGACAGCGGGGGAGCAGACACAACTCAGGGGGGTGTGCGGACCTGTGCGGCTCCCCCTGCTTCTGAGAGCGGAGCCCTTCCAACCTCGGTCCCTTCTCTGGGGACATCTCTTAGGTCCCATGATTTTCCTGGGCCCAAATCACAGACAAAGAGAAGGGAATTGGAGTCGCTAGCAAAGAGCTGACTCGCAGACTTAAAATTTGTATGAGCACCTGCCTAGACTTGTAGTTGGTGCTTAGGGGAGGTGGGGCACCAGCCACAGACAAGCAGGCAAGAGGAGGTGCTCTGCCCTCCTGCAGCACCGCTACTTTTTCCCATACAAGGTCCTTCCTTCCACCCTGGCTGGGGTGGCTCAGTGGGTTGGGCATCCTCCCATGCACTAAAAGGTAGCCAGTTCGATTCCCGGTCAGGGCACATGCCTAGGTTTCGGGCTCGATCCCCAGTAGGGGGCATGCAGGAGGCAGCTGATCAATGTTTCCCTTTCTCTCTCTCTCTCAAATCAATAAAGATCATCCTCAGGTGAGGATAAAAAATCCTTCCCTTCCTGGGTGAGGTCCGTGGCCGAGTCATCGGCCCCAGGGCCACGTACAAGACTGTAAGATGATTAGGGTGACAGACCACAGTCCGAACAGGCCCGGCCCTCCGCTGGGGGAAGAAAAGTGACAGCATGTGAAAGAGAACACTTACACCACACACAAGTGTATTTTTTGCAACAAAAGAAACTATTTATTTGGAATATGCATTACCAGTACAAATTAGGAGACTGTAAAATCTACACCGTGTTAGTATCATCATCGAGAACACAGAGCTTCCGTCGGATCAAAGGAACGAAGCCAGTGCTCACAGAAGCAGAAAAGCTCAACTTTCAAACCAAACAGGGCAGAGCTTCGCAGGGTTACACTCTGAATATAAGAGCAGGGTAGGAAGCAGAGATAAACCAACAGCCGAGGGAAACACTTCAAAATAACTGGAAGCGCCAAAGGGAAAGGAAGGAGGAAGCGAGAAAAGGGGGAACACATTGAATGTTTCATTTATTTTAACAAAAGGCAAAAAAAAAGGTTACAAAAAATAAGATTCCAGGAAGCTTCGCACAAGGGAGTGAACCATCAAGGCGATGTGAAAAGCGCGCGGCCATTCGGCTGTGACAGAACCAGCGGCCGGCGGTTCGGGTAGAGACGGTCAGGAAGTGCCGCTGCCGGCTCTGATTCTCCACTTTCCTCACCCGGGTGCTGGCTGCTTTCGGGACTCGTGGTCATTTGTTAAAGGACAGAGTTTAAAAGAGAGCTCCTTCCTGATAATACCGCCTTCTTTTCTCCTGGAACTAAAAAAGCATCCGAGCCCAGCCCGTCTCACCGAAGGCTGCACGGCGGCCGAAAGGCTGCGTGAGAATCACATCCGGGGCCCTGTCCAAAGCCGGGACCCCCAGCCCATCCCAGTGCCACCCCAGCCGCCCGGGAGTCTCTGCAAGGAAAGTCCCCTCGGCCGGGGGGGCACCCTGGCTACCAGCCTCGCCTGCAGGTGCGCACTCCCTCCCGGCGCAGGGCGTGGCGTCCACGTGGGCCTGATCTCTGTGACGTCAGCTCAGTTCTGGGACAAAAACCGAAGCAGCAAGAAACAGCCTCTGTCCGGCTGCCATCTTTTCACATCGCCTTGGTACATGTGTAAGGAAAAAAACAGCAAGATCATACTCCTGACAATGAAAAAAAAGCACCCCTATAAACAAACCAAAAATAACACAAAACAAAACATCATTCTTTTTGTTATATTTTCAAGAGCAGGAATAAAGGGGGAAAAAAGAATTCATTTCTGGGTCTCAAAGTTAAGAAACATAGTAACGTGTTAGGTTGTACCTCTATGATGCTCACTATCCCAACTTTTTTTTTCTTTTTTTCTTTTTTTAGTTTACAAAATGAATTACGGTCACTTTTAAACATCGTGGAACAGGAAATGGGTGTGCACAACTCGACACTTGTCTAGCATTCTTGAACTAATTCACAAATGCAAGAAAATAAAAGAGAAATGGGGAGCATGGCCAATGCGGGTCGTTCCGTGTGAAAACAGACGTGGCGATGAGGGCGTGGGCACGGAGGCGACCCCGTCCTGCTTTTCGTGCTGTGAGGGTCATTTTTAAAATTTTTATTATAAACACTATTAAATCCAGACCGCTTTTTTGGTTTTTTTCCCTTTATCTGAATATACAAGAACATTCATTATCAAATGTTCGTCATCAGTACTACAAAGAACAAGACACGAGTCGCAAGAAACAATGGAAAATGTTAATAAAGCTGAGAGGATTGTTGAGTATTTTTTTAAAAAGTTTTCTTTAAATTTGAGTTTCTGTAGTTTTATCTTTTTTTGGTATCGAAGTCAGGTTTTTTCTGGGCAGAAAAATAAAACTCAGAAGGGAATGGGGGAGGGTAAGTGAGAGAAAAGGCAACCAGCAGCCAAATAAAACCATGTCACGAAGGTGCCACCGGGCAGAAGCGTGTGCGGGGGGCCACCCCACCCAGGAGCAAGGGACGGGAAAGGGGGCGATGAGCAGTTACAGGTGGGCAAACCCCAGGGGACACCACGGCCAGGACACTGCGCGCTCCCCTGTCCCTGGGAAGCTGAGTCCTGGGCACACGGGTGGGCGAGCCTGAGGGGCAGGAGCTCCAGGGCGCTGCCCCCCACAGGCCCTCTGTCCACCCCACCCGCTGGCTGACTGTGCTCTCAGGGTTTGCTTAACTTGAGAGACCTCCTGGCGCCAAGCGGATGTGAGCGGGGCCGTGGAGGGAGAAAGGAAAGGTGCAAAGAGGGCTGCGTGTGGCGGTGACAGCGGGTGCAGCTGCCACAGGGCAGGCACCGAGCTCTGCTCCCATCTTCCCACTGACCCGAAATGGAAACCCTTCAGCCAAACCGGGCTTCCTGCAGCTGCAGGAGAACCCTGCGCCCAAGGTCAGGTGTCCCCGAGGTATCCCTGTGCCTGCGTCCGCGCGTCCCTGCCGGAGACGGGTCTCCTCGGCTGGATGGAGACGCGGTGCCCTCGGCACCCTGCGTGGAGCCCGACCCGTGACGGCTCAGGGCGCACAGCAGCCCGACGTGGCTTCCTCGCGCTCCTCGTCAGCATGATCCCAACATCTCCCCGTTCTCCTGTCCAACACGCACGCCCTCAACACTCGCGGGAGCAGTTTCTGCCCATTAGTGCACCACGCGGAGCCACCCTCAGGGCCACACCCCGGACGCCCCGCAGCAGCCGGGCCTGGGCACTGGCAAGGCCAGCATTAGATTCAAGCACAAACTGAGAGAACCAGGGCCGATGTTTCCATGTGGGAGGTTATCTCTCTTCTAAGGAGCCAAACAGACCAAAGCAACCAAACAAGCAACAGCCATGACCTGCCTTTGCCATCACGGTGACGGAGGGCCGATGTGACCAGACGTTAGACCAGGAAATCCGCTGCCTCCTGACCTCAGTCAGTTTCTCTCGGAGACGCTGCTCCCGCCCTCACCCTGCAGCTCGGGGAGAAGGGCCCCCGCGTCCTGTCTCGCAAGCCCGGCCAGAACCGTCCGCGCGTCACAGATCCGGGACGAGGCCCTGAGAGAGCTGAGCACCGCCCACTCGACAGATGACATCAGAGAACAGCTTCCCTGCGCGTCTCCCTGGACAGGCCCACAGCGTGACTGTCACCTGAGGAGTTCGCTGAGACCTTGACCTCCCGTCTCCGCCACTCGCAGGTCCTCAGACAAGCCAGCGAACAGGTACCGCGCCGAGCTCTCACGCCACTGCGTCCTCCAGACCTAGACGCGGTGCACAGAACTGAACAGTTCATGGCAGGTCCCTAGCGCCCAGACAAAGACAGAACAGAGCGCTCCACCGCACGCGTGCCTGCGCCTGAGGCTCCGGCAGAGCCAGCAGGGAGGGACCCTGGGAGCTGGCCTGCCCTGCGGGGTGGTTCTGGCGTGTGTGTGTGTGTGTGTGTGTGCTGGGGCCGCCGGTCCTGGATGCCGCGGGCTGCTTGTCTGTGTCCTTCAGAGTCTCTCTCATGGGCTCACAAGGCGGATGGCACTGTTACTAATGTAGGCATCTGTATGAGGCATGTGGCTGATCGTGGGGCGGTGCATGTGAGAGCCTGTGCATGTGCCTACAGGTATGTGTGCACGTGCATGTGAGGGGAGGGTTCAGGAGAGAACGACCCCCCCCTGTGACGCACCTGGCACCACGCTGACCCACACCTGGCTCCGCAGCGTCTGGCCCCCCAAGTCCGCCTCTGCCAGGAGCTGTCCAAGGACAACGAGAAGCCTGGACGCTGCCTCCCAGGCCGCGCCCTCTCCTGTCGCTGACTTCCTGCCTGGCATCTACCTGGCGGAGCTGAACCCAGGACACAGCGCCTTCGGGAGCCCGGCTATGGCAGGACCCAGGGAAGCCGGGCTGGGAGGCAGCGGGCGGGGGAGGCCGAGGAGCAGGGCAGCGGGGCGGTTCCTGTGAGAGGTAGTGAGTGATGGGAGACAGGGCTGCCTGGCACGGGGCTCGATGAGGTAACGTGGCTCCTCATACCACCAGCGTGAACACATACAAACGCTTTTATTGTTTTCTTTGCATTTTTCCCCTCTTTAAATTCCTCTAATTGTTGAAAATATCCTTCAGTGACATGTAGCGGGCAGGGGCCCAGGGAGTGGAGGGCAGGGGCAGGGGCGGTGAGGGCACCAGGCTGACGCTGCTGGCAGGGAAGGCTGGCTTCTACCCAGAAAAAGGGACAGAGTATAAAGAAGTGTCCAGATTGGCCGGAGGGCCTCCCGGGAGGAGAGGGAGGAGCTCATGGTGGCTGCTGATGGCTGCGCCTCCGGTCTGACCGCTTCAGCGTGGGAGACCCTCCCTCCGGCCCCGCCCGCCGGGCGCAGGGTCAGCCGGGATGCGCGTGCGGGGAGGTCAGTTGGAGGTGTCGGAGTGAACGCTGCCAGGGCCTTCTGTAGGGGACGTCACTGATGAGGGGGTAGTCGCATCCTGCCAACCTCCATTAGCCTAGAAGGGAAGAAGGAGAGAAGTCAGGCTGTGAGGGGCGGTGGGAGCACATGATGACGATGACAAGGAGGAGCCGTGAGAAGGCGGCTCAGGGCCTGCCAGGGGGCACTGGTCAGCAGGCTGTCCTTGTGGTCACTCCCCCGCCCCCTCAGTGGCTGGGGCCTCCCTGTGCCTGTGATACCGAGTCCCGCACCTCCGTCAGGTGAGACCACCTGCCCTGCAGGTCCAGGGGCCCGAGTCCCGGTGCTGACTCTGGCCGGGCACTCCCACCCCTTTGGCCCCGAGTCCCCCTTGAGAAAAACAAAAAGGCTGCCCAACTGCCTCCGAAGGGCCCTTCCAGCTCCGAGTTCCCCAAGCCCCGGGTCCCAGGCGCCTCCGGCACATGTCAATGGCTGGGGGCCGTTCCTGTCCTCAGCGGGCACTGACCACACCTGGGGGAACTATGACTCAAGGCAGGACCCAGCAATGCACAGCCCGGCTGCGAGGAAGGTTCCAGGGAGGCGAACCCCGTCTTGAGGAGGCACCTCGAAGAGTACAGAGGGCGACCCGGGAGAAGAGGGCGCTCAGCCAGCGCCTCGGCCTGGCCTGTGGGAAGATGTCTCCAGGGGGTGAGCCGGGTGTCGACGCTTGGTCTCCATTTGTACATTCTTTTCCTAAGGCTCAGTCCAGAGCATCCAAACAGCAACACGGTTCCGACAGGACCTGCGTCAGTGAGCACCCCTACAAGGACCCGGCACTCGGATAGCCCGGCAGGACGTGCTGCGGCTGCGACTTCATGACCCCGCCCTCGATCGCCCACTGACTGTGTGAGCCACGCAGTGTGTGTGTGAAAGGCACTAATCTCCTTCCCTCCCAGATAACAGCCCTCTGCTCCGAACACGCGAGGGAGGCCCGGACCAGGCCTGACGCTCCTGGAATATATGGGGTCAGGGGCAGGGGTGACTATGGCATTGGTGGGGGCAGCTCCTCCCCGCAGCATGAGGGGAGGTCTCCACCCATCACAAAAGAGCAGATCTGGACACATTTTCTAGACCAGAAAAACTAGGCTTTCCCTGCACCTGCCCTGATCCCCTCTCCCTGCACCTGCCCTGATCCCCTCTCCCTGCACCTGCCCTGATCCTCTTCTCTCTCCCACTCCCTCCTTCCTTCCACTCTCTCTGAAAAGCAATGGAAAAATATCCTCTGGTAAGGATTTAAAAAAAAATGGAACTGCCATTTGTCACAGTGATCTCATTTCTTGGAATAGATCCTAGAAAGCCAGAAACACCAATCAGAATATATGCACCCCTGTGTTCATAGAAGCATTATTTACAATAGCTAAGATCTGGAAATAGCCCAAGTGAATGAATTAAAAAACTGTGATTCACTTACACAATGGAATACTATGCAGCTATATATATATATATAAAAAAGAAGGATCTCTTACCCTTTGAGATGGCATGGAGGGACCTGGAGAGTAGTATGCTAAGCAAAATAAGCCAGACAGAGAATGACAAGTATCACATGATTTCGCTCAGATGTGGAATCTAATGAACAAAATAAACTGATCCAGAGACATCGAAGCATACAACAGACTGACCTTTTTCAGAGGAAAACCGGGGGGGGGGGGGGGGCGGGAGGAGAGCTCAGGGCTGTCCCCGGCGCTGGTGGGCGGCCAGGGAGGGAAACACAGACACAGAGGCCCCGCCCCCGTGACCCGCATGGGCACCCACAGGCTTACCAGGGCAAGCACGGCCAGAGCCACCGTTTCCCACCAAGGCAGCTGGAGCACCCAGGTTCCCGGCAGGCAGCTTTCCCAACATTTTACAGGGAGCTTTCCGAGAGCTGCTCCGAGTTGCCAGGATGCTCCCTGGGAAATCTCAGCCTGGCCACTGCAGACCCACCTTGAGCTGCGACCTTTAAAAATGCAGCTCTGACCTCCTCCCCACCCCTCCTCCACCTTCAGTGGCTTCGAGCTGAGGGTCCGCGTCCCCCTCAGGCCTGCGCTTCCTGCCCTGCTCAATGCTCGTGGTTCATGCTTCAATACCCCCTCCCACCACTCAGGAGTTCCCATAGCAGAGGGCCGCGCTCACCCAGTCCCCACCACCCACACCTGCTGTCTCCACCTTGAGGGTGTGCACGTGTCCCATGTGCCCCGAGCATGGTCTCCTGGGGGCAGCCCTGTCCTCTGTCACATCACAAGGCACTGATGCTGCCACGGGCATGTCCTCGCCCGCCAGACCATGAGCACCACTGTGGGGCTCCTGGCCGATTCCACGCTGCCTACCAGTGCCTGCACCTCACAGATGTTAGACAATGTCCGAGAGGGACAAGCGAAGACGTGAGGGAACATGTAGTGGCACTGGCTGTGGAGAGATATATGGTCTCAGGTGGGTGACCTCCATGACCATTTATACCAAGCCATGTAAGCCCAGGAACAGCTGAGAGAGCCTGGCCGCCTGTAGTTGGCCATATAGGCCCAGGAAACAGCTGAGAGAGCCTGGCTGCCTGTACTTGGCCATGTACACCCAGAAAACAGCTGAGAGAGCCTGGCCGCCTGTACTTGGCCATGTAAGCCCAAGAAACAGCTGAGAGAGCCTGGCCGCCTGTACTTGGCCATGTAAGCCCAAGAAACAGCTGAGAGAGCCTGGCCGCCTGTAGTTGGCCATGTACACCCAGAAAACAGCTGAGAGAGCCTGGCCGCCTGTACTTGGCCATGTAAGCCCAAGAAACAGCTGAGAGAGCCTGGCCGCCTGTACTTAGCCGTGTACACCCAGGAAATACCCGCGAGAGCCTTGACAGCCTGTACTGAGACATATACGCCCAGGTTTACTTCCTGACATGCCACCCTGTGCAGGACCACACTGCTGGTCAGCTCGGCTTCTCTTACACCGCACTGCGGGGTCCTGGCCGAGACTGTACAGTAAGACGGTCAACCTGCCCTCTGTCCATTGGTAACATATGAACTCTTTTGTTACAAGTCACTTCTTCAGCCTTCTGTGCCACGCACTCTAACTGCCATCTATGGGTGCCCTGTCACAATCCAGACACAACCCTACCTGCCAATGCGCCCACCAGCACCATCCTGCCAACACCTAGTGCCATCCAACCGGAGGGCACCTGTCAGTGGGCTCTGGGATCGAGATCTACCCTGGCACCTTCTTAGTGTCATTCTTTTCTATTTCACCTGTGGCGAACACCCAGCATTCATGCCGCCATGTCAGGCACGTGGGACACGGGAGGGGCTGGTCGAGGCCGTCCCCTCACGTGGGTACAGTTCCCAGCTTTAGGGTCAGGTGCTTTCTTATTTCTATTAAAAGTGCAAATGTGACTGTTACGCAGAACGTTTCCACATCCTGCAGGCTCCGTAGGTTTGATGTATACACAGGAAGTTAAAACTTACGAACTGTTTAATTATCTTTTCAGAGAGAGAGAGAGAAAAAGAAAAAGCTCAGTTTGTCTGGGCTAAATAGAGGTGTCTTAGGACAGAAAACTATTTCTATATGAATAGACACCCTCCGCACTCAGACCTGCAAACCCCAAACATGTCCCCTTACACACATCGACACCGTGTGCAGAACACACATGCATGTATTCTCATAGACTGAGCACACATTCAGAACATACAGCACCCCAGGAATGAGCGTGCATGCGCGGACACACACACACGTTTCGGGAAGAAAGCTGTAAGAGACTATTATGTTTACTCATAGCCAACTCTGGGTAATTCAAGCAAAGGGCATTTGTTTTACTCTCAGTATAAGTGATCTGATGGGCTGACTCTCTACAGCCCTAAGTTCTTCGTTTTATTCTTATAACCTCTGATTTTGCTTTGCTTTGTTGAAAGATATCCTTTACTCATGGTGCACATGGAGGCTACACACATACTTCCACGTGATGGGGTCTCCACGGAGCACACACATCACTCGGGGTGGACACCTCAAGGCCACTGACCATCACACAGAAGCTGAAGCCCCTCTCACTCGTCTGCCGTCCACACAGCCATCACCCCAGATAACCAGACCCACAGTGACATGCCGCAATGCCGCGGAGAGACACGGAGCCAACTCCACGCCCAGAGACTGGCATATTCAAGTACAGCGAGGACAGTAATAGCAACTTACATGCCATCACTGAGACAAAGCCACAAAGGCCGCGGTGGCAGCCACTTATTTTGAAGCCTATTATTTGTGGGAGGTACAAGCTGTAATCACAACAGAAACTTTCAAAGCCCTTATCCTCCGTGACGCACCAAATCTATTTCAGACCCCTAATTGCTATGTCACCAGAGAGCTGGCTGCTTAATGCGCTCAAATGGCGCTGAGAGCTTGCAGGGTTGCGGCCGGCAGAGCGTGGGGGGTAGGGAGGGGGGTGCAGGGGGCACAGCCTCCCTGCTGCCTTCTTCATTCAGGGAGGCGTCTCGCTCAGAACTGTTTACAGGTGACGTGAGAGAAAGGCTTGAAGACCGCCGCATCCAGACTGTGAACTCACATCCTTGATGCGGGACCCTTGTTAGGCTGGGATTCTTGTCCACATGGAACGTGGACTGACTTTTTAAATTTTAGCTTTTTCCCTTTTATATTGTCCCAGAAATGCCCCAGCTGTGTGGCTGTGGCGGGTCCGGAGAAGCCAGGGCAATGACTAGACGGAGAGAGAAGGTATTCTATATTCCCACTGCAGCTTGGTTCTTATCTTTTTAAGATCAATAACAGTACCACTAACAGATCTGCCTTTAGTTTTCTTAGGATAACAACGGCTTTCCTGCCGAAGAACTTTCCACTGAAATAAACAGAATGGCACATGGGGTGGGGAGGCCTCCTCCACGGGCATCCCGCCATCTAGAAGCAGAGTTTTCTCCACTTTCCACATGCCCTCAGTGCAGTGGTGGGACATCACACTGCAGAAGAGTTCGGGAAGTCACTGAGAAAAAGGTGGACATTTCAAGAATACATTTACAAGGCTAATAAACATGAAGAAATTTACGAGTAATCAAAAAGAAACAAATTAAAGTCAAGTGAAAGTGAGACACCCTTTTATAATTTAACTAGTGGCTTGGTGCACAAATTCGTGCACATTGAAAGGAAATTAATTAGAAGAAATATTTTAGTATCGCTATTTGCCCTTTCTCTATAATAGAAGTGTCAACCAAATTCACAATCGACAATGACAGATCGAAACATATGTGTGCGATTGGCGCCAGCGAGAGCTTTATATGTATCATGCATGCACGAGTCAACGTAGCCTTTTATAGATTAGAGTTGCTTAATTGGACCTGCTTTCTGATGTAGCTAAACTTTTCCCAGCCCAGTGAAGCACCCCAACTTCTCTTTCAGGTAATTGTCAGCAACACAGCAGATTATATAAATATCAACACGAAGCAGATTATTATTGTAGATCATGCAGGGAGAACAAAGGGTAAAATATTTAACTGCAGCAGTGTTTGACTATATTCTATGCAGTGAGAAAACCTGAAGTCATTGTCAAGGTCCACCATTTCTTACTTTTCAGTTGGGTCAAGTTTCTGAGCTTTCTAAATCTCTGTTTTCCAGCTAATGAAAAGAAAATAGGATTCCACTGAGTCTCCTATCTACTTACTCCAGGACTTCTGTGAGGATCAAATGAGATGAGGCACGGAAAACGCTTCACAGACATTAGGTTGAAGTGTAAAATGTTTCCACCTGACTATAAAGCAAGTCATGTTCCTGGGCTGAAGAAACTGCAAGGAGGCTAGTCACTAGGGAGAGGAAGCTGGGCGTTGCTATGTGATGTCATTACTTGGACGGACACTCAGCATATTAGCCTTTTATATAGATAGATAACTGACAAATCTGAAACACGGCTAAGTCATTGTCATTGAGCTTGTGGCGAACTGGGGACAACCATGAGCTGCTGGTGGGAAGAACAAATGCATAGATGTTTCCAGGAGAAAAGGGTTAGACATCTTCTGCCCTTTGCTCCGTCGACTCCATTTTCAGAAATGTATCCAAGGAGTAACAGAAAGCATGCACCTAATTCCCTTAACTATGATGTTTGCCACAGAATTATTAAAATTGTAAAAAGAAAGCAGCTTCAGTGTCCGCAGTAGAGACTGATTAAATAAACTAGGGGCATTCCCTATAACAGGCTCCTTATGTAGTTACTAAAGTTATGTTTGACATGTTTAATGATATGAAAAACACTCATAATGTATTTTTAGTAAAAGAAGTAGGTTACAAAATGACATTTTTTATATGATCACGTTTCCACATGCATCACACACATGAAGGCTGCTGAGAAAAGAGTTAGCAGTCCTTTCCTTCCGTGTGATTCCTGCACACCCCAGATGTTCCACATCGCATGTTAGCCTGTAACATTTAAACAAAGCATGTGAAGGAGAGTCCGCAGCTAATGTAGGTCTCGGTGTGTCTGAGATGCCCTGGCAACCCCAGAGCTGTGGGCGAGGACCAGTCCCTGCTGCCTCAGTTCCGGGGAGAGCAGCTGCCGGACCCGCCCAGCATGGGAGTCAGCAAGGGATTCCCAGCTCTCTCCAGAATACAGGGGCCTTGAAGAGTTAAATGGTTGTTGTCCCTTTAAAGTGTAAAGGAAACCGCTCAACATAGCCCTTAGCTTAACGGAGATGGGAGTTGCCTGGGGATAGGCAGTAGATCTTTTATGTCCCTGCTCTCACGTCCAATGGTTACTACAAGTCCAAGCAAATTCCCGCTGAACAAATGAGCGAGTGAAGGAATGACTGTGGACAGCACCTGTCCCAGAAAAAAAGAGTGAGGAAGAGAAGGAAGAAGACACCACTGCTCCGGTCCCTGAATACACACCCACAGGTTTCTGGTGGGAGTTGGCTAGGGTTAGAGGGTACAAGGTTTAGATAAGGTGAGGTTCAAATATGGGTATCAGTCTGTGAAAAATGAAAAAAAAGGGAAGAAAAAAATCATTCTTTTGTGGGAAAGACTCCCCAAATAACAAAAATGAAAAGTAAGTCTTTGGGGGCAGGCAGACAATTCAGCCACAAGTCAGCCACAGCCTGCCTGCTGGTTAGGAAGGAAGGGAGAGGGGAGGGAGGGAGGGAGGGCGGGAAGGCGGGAGGAGAAGGAAGACCTCTTGACAAAGGTTAGAGTAGGATCCTTTCAAAAAGTATGCATTAAGCACCTACTATGTATCAGGCCTGGTTACAAAACCAGGACGCTTGTCATCAGAACTAGGGCCTGGAGAGGAAGTAAGAGCAAGAATCCGGGAACCGTACGCAGGCGTGGTCTGCAGGACCTGGGAGGTGCTGAGGGAGCAGGGCTGTGGCGGGTCTGCCCCTGCCCGAGGCACTGGGCAGGAATTCTCTGGCTGGAACACTGTAACTGCTGGGAATGGCCTCCAGGAA